AAAGAGTGTTTGAGAACAGAGTGCTGAGGAAAATATGTGGACCTAAGAGGGAGGAAGTAACATGAGGGTGGAGAAAACTGCATAATGAGCAGCTTCATAATCTGTACTCGTCATTAAATATCATTAGGTTGATCAAACTAAGCTGAATGCATACGACATTTTAATCTAAAAATCTGAAGGGAAGAGACCGCTTGGGAGACCTAGGCGTAAATGGGAAGATATTAACTTCTGGTTCTTTTTGTTCGGGAGGTCCCACGTTCAGATCTCGGCCCGGAGACCGGCTATTCTCACTGGCGTTTCTTGTGCTTTAATTTAGCCCCTCATTCAAATGCCGATATTGTGAGCCTGCTTTAAATTAGGTCACTTGTTTTACATATTTTGCAAATAATTATTCACTGATTATCTTATCATTTGGCGTTATATAAACTAGCGTCGTTGAATAAACCAAGAATAACAATTGATTCACGTGTGTGTGTGTGTGTGTGTGTGTGTATTCGCAGCCTGGTGAGATGCGGACGAAAGTAAATTTCGGACAGGAGTACTGATTTTTTCACTACAAAAAGGCTGCTTTTCGGTGGGCTCAGTCGGTAACGTATTTTCTCCTTGCCATCTCTTGTCATGTAAGTTCACATGCAGTTCCTGTCCAAATCTCGGTCTGAGAATGAGGATGAAGGTGAGGAAACTGTGAATTTCTGTCATCAGAAGTGGAAATATAACAGCACTCAGTGGGTTTACTTTGCGACATCCAGTTTGGTTGGGGTTTGGGAGGTACCCAGTTAGAATTTCGACCAAGGAACTGACCGACGATGACACATTTTTTGTGTTTTTCTTCAGTATTCCGAACCAGATACCGCGATAGCGCTCCAGAATGTAGGATTTGATGTTTTCACGGTGGTGAGTCTGAAACGTAAATATGTGGACCTAAGAGGGAGGAAGTAACATGAGGGTGGAGAAAACTGCATAATGAGCAGCTTCATAATCTGTACTCGTCATTAAATATCATTAGGTTGATCAAACTAAGCTGAATGCATACGACATTTTAATCTAAAAATCTGAAGGGAAGAGACCGCTTGGGAGACCTAGGCGTAAATGGGAAGATATTAACTTCTGGTTCTTTTTGTTCGGGAGGTCCCACGTTCAGATCTCGGCCCGGAGACCGGCTATTCTCACTGGCGTTTCTTGTGCTTTAATTTAGCCCCTCATTCAAATGCCGATATTGTGAGCCTGCTTTAAATTAGGTCACTTGTTTTACATATTTTGCAAATAATTATTCACTGATTATCTTATCATTTGGCGTTATATAAACTAGCGTCGTTGAATAAACCAAGAATAACAATTGATTCACGTGTGTGTGTGTGTGTGTGTGTGTGTATTCGCAGCCTGGTGAGATGCGGACGAAAGTAAATTTCGGACAGGAGTACTGATTTTTTCACTACAAAAAGGCTGCTTTTCGGTGGGCTCAGTCGGTAACGTATTTTCTCCTTGCCATCTCTTGTCATGTAAGTTCACATGCAGTTCCTGTCCAAATCTCGGTCTGAGAATGAGGATGAAGGTGAGGAAACTGTGAATTTCTGTCATCAGAAGTGGAAATATAACAGCACTCAGTGGGTTTACTTTGCGACATCCAGTTTGGTTGGGGTTTGGGAGGTACCCAGTTAGAATTTCGACCAAGGAACTGA